TGGGAGCCAGTGTCAGCCTGGCATGCCTGAATGGGCTCTGCGGTGTTGCTATCTCCTTTTCCAGCCAGACTTAGGTACCAGAAAGTTACTTTGTTCCTGTTACTTTGCAACCTCAGCTCTTCCGGGCAAACCAGTTTGCCCAGCTCAGCAGGAGGTCTAACAAGACCTGCCCACTTCCCATAAAAGCCATCAAAAACACGTTTCAGCTTCAGCTGTACAGCCTCCAATGAAACAACCAAATTTGTTTGTGAAAGAACTCAAGCTGCAGCCAGTCAAAATGCTGCACTCCAGCTCTGCTACACAGAGACACATCTTTCAGCACTGCAGTTAACAGCAGAAGTCCCTGAGGAAGGCTATACATAGCTTGCTTCACAAGTGTCAGCATGGCACCAGCCCCAGGCCCGTGCTTAGGAGCCATAGCGCAGACACGCTCCCATAAACCTGAACAGACTTTACAGCTTGTGCACGCTTCCAGTCTGGCACATCTCAAACTCCAGTTTGGAGATAAACAGGTTCTATCCATGCTTCAGCAATACATCTTGAAATCATGGCAGAGGAACAAATGTTTTCCTTAAAAGACTTGCATGAGTAATTAACTTCATGATAATTCTAGTGTTGCTTGCCATTTTGGTTTGTTTCCTAGCTCTGTTACCTGACAAATCAAAAACATTTGCTGCATAAGTCTCTTTGTGTCTGCACTTCCCATCACAAACGTCTGTTGTTCCCTTCAGATGAACTTCTCAAAATAGGAAAGTTTTAGCAGAGGGTCCCTTCAGGTTCACAGCCTCCACAACTCCAAGTAGCTGGGGGATGGTAGTTGTGGGCCTGTAAAGTGGGACTTGGCCATTGCTAGAATTTCTAATACCACTTAGACCAACATTGTGCTCATCAGAGAAATCCACCTCAGCTAAGCACTGAAAAAAATCCCACCTGGTCTAGCTACATTAGCTAGCTACATTACAGAACCACAGCGCACAGTGGGCCAGAAAAGCACTTCACGCATCTCAGCAGAGGGTCAATACTTCTCCACTGCAAACTTTCCACTGTTTCAAACTTAGAAGTTGGACCTTTTCTTTCCTTTTTTAAACATTTATAATTCCTAGGAGTTAGATTAAGTATAGAGACACTAGCTGAGACAGCAGCTTGAATCTATGCTTGCAGCCAATCCTCACGTATTCCTTTGTAACAAATAACCAGGTACCTAAGACATATTAAGTTATAACGAATGACAGATGCAATCAAAGAAATCGAATTAATCTCAAAAAACCTTTACTCTCTTAGCATTTTAAAACAGAACTCTGCATGCTGAACCCATAAGGAATTCAACCATATCATAATACTTTTTAATTAAACTTCTATTTAGCCTGTTGCTTTTGTAAAGCAATATTTTAATTTAGTGTGCTTTCATAAAAGTTAACTACATAATGCTTAGGAGAATATTTACACATAGGCCAATCATAAAATCTCATATTAGATGGATTGTGCCTTATTAATTTACAGTCACATGTAGACAAACTAAAAACTACAGATGAAGAAAAAAAATCAACAAAACTAAGATTTTTTTTTTTTTAAATCAACACTCAGAAAAACTATTTCAGAATTTACCTGATCAAGACCAAAAAAGCGGGCATGAAGATGGTTACAGAGCTCAAAGACTTTACAAACACCAAACGAGTTGTGCACAAGAAGGTATGCAGTAGAAACGAATAAATTTGTTCTCTGGATCCAATGAATTTAAAATCAGCCATTTCATATAATATGCACAATACATGAAGAATAAGGTTTAAGATTTCCATATACACACATATGACTCTTTAGACAATAACTTTTAAAACTAATAATCCCATTTCTGTGGCTGCTGTATTACTAATTGAGAAATCTGTAAAGTGTGGTCTCACTGCAGACAGATCTCACAGCTTCTATCTCAGTATTGCTAAACAATTAAGTTTCTTGTTTAGGTATTTTGCATACTTCAAAAGAAAAATGACTTCTGGGTAGCACACAATCACCGTTCTTGTGTGGGAAGCTCACAATAACTCTGATATTATTCTTCGCCTTTGGAAAAATATCAAAACTAGTATGTAAGGAAAAAATCAACTCGCAGAAACCCTGTGCTATGCTAAACCACAGAAACAAACTACAGAGAGATAAACAGCCCTAAAGAATTCCACTTTTGAAGACTTAAGTGTCACCTGCTCAAGCATTTGTTCCTCCCTGCCCTTTTATGCAGTCCAAGGGCTTTACTTACCCTCTCACCTTCAAACAAAATATTCTTTGCTCAAAAGTAGCTCTAACCTCAAACTCTCCAAGAACACATGCAAGAATGGCTGAACACACCTCCAGCCAA